AAAAAAAATATGTTTAACAAATATAAATTGATATGATAAAGTTATCTGACAACTACGGAAAAGAAAATTTCAACACTTAAGAAATAACAAAAAAAGAAACACATTGCTTATTTATCCATCACAATGACTTTCAAAGCCTGATTCATTAAATTCTTCATTAATATTACTATTAATCATTTTAAAATGATTAACAGTCATTCGAAGTCCACTACGTATAATCATACTATTTTTGAGATTTGTTGAATCACCAAGTGGATAATTTGTTGATGTATTTATTGTTGCACTAATAGGAATACGTGTTGTAGGAAAATGTGTATTTTGTTGTTGTGTTAATGGATCAGGTTCAATACGATATTTTAATAAACGACGAAACATAAGAACAAATGGTTCTAAATATAAAATTAATAATAAAGACAAAAAACTAAAATAAGAATTTTACCCGGTTTATGTATAAGATAATGTTCCCAATGAGATCCTTGTTTAATACCTAATGCACGCCATTCACATTCGTCCATTAATCGATTTTTTGGTATTAATGAAACCATACTTTTATCCAAAATAACATGTCTATATTGATAAGTATCATCTTCATCTAGAAAAAAAAAAAACATTTTAACATATATTTAATTTTTTGTTTTTTTGAATATAACAAAATTTTAACATACATGTTGATGAATAACGTGGTGGCTTTAATTGTTGATTCGATGGCATGTTATTAATTTTTATTTTTTTTTCAATGGCTAAATCTAAAAAGGACACACCAACAACAACAACAACAACAAGGAAATGTCTAATAATTGATCGAAAAAAGAAAAAAAAAATTGAACATGTTTATCTTCTTCGGAAAAATAAACTGATTTCTTTTTTTTACAAGAAAACAAAACAACAAATTAGTCTTTCTTCACTCGATCAAAATCATACGACTAGACATATTTATTTATTTTATTTATTCTGTTTTTAACATTTCATAAAATTTTCTTTGTTCTTCAGCTTTATAATCTGCTTTTGGTAATGAACGTTTTAAACCACCATCCCATTCTAAATCAACAAAACCACCTTGTTTAGCTATAGCTGCTTTAACACGACGAGCAAAATCAACTGATGTTTCATTTTCTTCCATTGTCATTGGTGGTAAATAATAAACATCAACAACAATTGCCCATGATGTCATCATTAATATTAAATATTGAAATAAACCATGTTTAGATGAATTCCAAAAAGCATCACCAAAACGATTATCATATTTAATAGCAACGGGATAAATTGGTGCTTCTGTTATTTCAAAACAACCTTTTTTAAACATCATTACTGATGTATTATTAATACATGTACCTTCAGGAAAAATTAATATTGGTAAATTAGTTTTATTTTGAATATGTTCACGCATTTTATCCGTAACCATATGACGATCTTTAGCTTCTGAACGTTCAAACCATATATGATTAGCTGTATTTGATAATGTTCGTTGTACCATACCAAAAAATCCACCTTGTTTTTGTCCAATCATTGAAAAACTATTATCAGTTGATAAAATAATAACATCAATTGGTGATGTATGATTAGCAACACATATTGAACCACATTTAGCACGATATTCTGTATTATGATATGTTATTATAGCAGAAAAAACGCGTGATAAGATACGATGTAAAACAATATTTATATAAAAACCGTAACGTAATTTAGCATCTCGTTTAAGAAAATATTTAAGAAATATAGCCGATACTAACATCCATGTTATACCAATAATAAATAAAAAAAGACGAAATGGAAATAATATAAAATAACGTATACAAAATCCAACAAACCATAATAATGTTACACGTATAGAAAAATATTCATGTTGTTGTTGAGTACGTGTTAATAAATTCCATACAGCCATTTCTTCAGCTGATGTAAAACGTTTTGTTACATCATCATCAACAATAGCTTCAAGACCTTGACGAGTATAATCTACGATATCTCCTATATTCAAAAAATAAAAGAAAAAAAAAAAAGATTTGTTTTTATTCTTTCATAATGAATTGTTTTTTCTATATATTTGAAGAATTTAATAATAAATCATGAGATAAACAGAGGAATTGGAATAATGAGTACAAGAATGTTCACCAGGGAAGGTAAATATGATGTCTATGCCCGGCAGTCTTCTCTTCATACCAACACTAGGGAACTGCGAGTCCGGATCAAGGCTTTCGATTGTTTTTGAAGGGGGAGGAGGTGCAGACACCTTTCATAAACTTTCGCAGACAATCTGTTAACGAAAGCTTTTCAGAGATAGATACCGAAAATGTTCTAGTTTTTCATAAAAACTGATGACCGGGGGGCGGGTGGTAGCGCGGCACTTTCCATGTTTCATAGAAAGTCGTGATGGGGTCCAAGGGGAAGGTAGCTTTGGAAAGATTTCCCTATCTCTCTTCAGGGATGAGTCAAATCTCGGAAAAAGTTCCATACACAAAAATAAAACCAGGACCAGGGAAAGGAGGTAACTGGCGAAGATCCTCCGAACAGCGTCTATTTAAAAATTTGCTAGACAGTAAAACAGATTTTCAATTTGTGCGGGGGGAGGGGGGGACAGCCCCCTCCACATCGAAAGCCGTGGTCCAGGTCCAAAGTTTTATATTTTTGTTGAGCCCGATTACACGTTCTTGTGGATCCGCTGCTGCACAGATAAGAAATACAGTAATAAGATCTAACTGTACATTAAGAATAGAGAATAAATAGCTAAAACCTTGATCCTTCATTTGTTCATATACACAAAGGGTGCCAGGTATTCATGGAAAACACCTCCGATCCGGGTCCACAAAAACGTGGATCCACAGCTCCCTAATTCACACCTTTTACCTTCATTTTTTTGCGCGCTTATCATTCATTAATCCAAATTAGATGGATTAATAATTCATTACCAGCACTATTGAATGGTATATGAGGAAAATACCATAGAGTAGCTAGATCTTACGACGGAACCGCTTCAGATGCTAAAAAGCTTTTGAGCTCAAATTTTGTCTATACGTAGGCGATGTATAGACTAGACAAAAAAACCCTAAGAGAATATGCGATTTGTCTGAGATATCGACATTTTAAAGTTAAAAATCGATATCTTAGATAAATCGCATATCCTCTTAGGGTTTTTTTTATCTAGTCTATGCATCCCCTAGGTATCATCAAAATTTGCGTTGAAAAGCTTTTTAGCACTTGGTGAGACTTCTTTGTAAGATCAATGGGCGTTAACCATTTCTCATGAAAAAACTTTAAATAAACTTTTGTTTTTGAATTACTATTCATTATTGACATGTATCGATGATAAGTCATGTTAATCATAATATGCATGCACAAGAAATCATTTTCAAGATAATCGAACAATAAATTTTGGTTTTGCGGCTAGGTCTATCAAGATAGAGAGGTGTGAACTTAATATTAATTAGATATATTTCATGATAAAACTCTGCACATGGTCAATAGTCAGTGCATCCTTGTTATCATGACAAGATATTAAATATAGATATCTATGATGAAGTCACCTTTTCTAACATTTGTATACTATTTATATAAAGAAAAGGTCAATTGACAACGTTTTGGGTGATTAAACATGGATAAAGAATCATAAATTTGAATGAATGTAATTTTTCAACCATAAAATTTTACATAAAAAGAAAAAAGTTTTACCTAATTTAAATTGAATATCACTTGGTGATGAAGTACTTGATATTTTTTGTTCATGATCAGTTGTTGATGTTGTTATTTCATGTGATGATTCAGATTCATTTTCATTATTAATTTCATTTTTTGATTCACCTAATAATGGTGTTGTTGAAGATATTTTAATTGGATCTTCTTCTGTTTTTTTTTCAATAAGTGGTGTTTTATCATTTTCATTTGTTGTTGTTGTTTGATGTTCATCCGAAGATTTATCAGAATCAATTGAAAATTCTTTAACACGTTTTATTTTTGTTGCATAATCAAATAGGTATCCTAATAATGTAACATAAAGTTTTCGTATACCAAGTGATAAATTTAATGCTGCAAGTGAAAGTACAAGTATAGATAAACTAATCAAAGGTACACATATAACACCTATGATGGTAAAAATTTGTGCTGTTGTTGTTGTCATAATTTATTTGAAATTGTACAATGATAAATAATGATAAAGTCTAGAAAGAATAAAGAACAAATCGTGTTATAGAAGAAGAAGACATAAGTGCAAAGTTTACAAAATAAAAAAAAAAAAAAAAACAAAATATATTAGTCGTTTATAAAATGTATTAATTTTTTTTTCAAAAATAAAAAAAAAGATATGAATTCTTTTTCTTTTCTTTTTTTCCTGACACATACCTTCTTATTTTTTATCTCGATCATTTTGTTCACAGCAACACACAAACACACTAACGAAAGTGAATGTTAAACGTGTGTATTGAATCTTTTTCTTTCTTTTTTTTTCTCTTTCCCTATTTCTATCTCTCTCATGTAATATAATGTCTTTCGATAGAAGAAATGATTGCATTCTTTAACGAAAAGCAAACATGCAATGACGGACTGATCATATTATGTTTTAAAACCCTCGATTATAAAGAGATAGATATACTACGCATTTATATATACCTGAGAGAAATAAAAGTATAATATATGATAAGAAAAAAAAAACGAAAAAAAAAAGCGACGAAGTAAACCAAAATTATAAACAACATTAATATTATTTTAGTTTTTGTTTCAATTTCTTTTTTTTGCATGACTAAATATTTTGTTTTTAATTAATTAATTAGAAATTATAAAATAAAACCATCAAAAGCAAACAAAAAAAAAAATATATGTAAGTAAATACGTATTAATGAATAAAATTAAACTAAAAACAAAAAAAATTCTAAATAATATATGAAATTATATTTTTATCACAATTTTGAGTTTTTTTTTTTTTCGGTTAGTATTAATCGATAGACGGAGATTAGTTTTATCACGAACGACACAAAAAAAATCAGAATAAGTTTCAAAAAAAAAAAAGAAGATATTTAAACAGCAGGTTGATTTTCAACAGCACTTTCAATTGGTGCTGATTTTACATTGTGCTGTGGTATAGCTAAAACATTAGCAATAGGTAATCCTTGTTTAATATGTAATGTTAATCTTTAAATAGAAAAAAAATATATATATATATTTTCTTCTTTGTAAAATAAATCTACCTTACTTATATAATAAAACCATACTAATACCAGCAAGGATTAAAAAGAATACACAACTCATAAAAATAAATTTTAAATGAAAATCCTAAATAATAGAAAGATTTATTTGAAATAAAACATTTTGTTTTTTTTTTGTATTTTACTTTAAGAAGAATAATAACCACAATTAAATTTAATGGAATGCGAAAATAATTCAATACAGTAGCACGTGCTAAGATATATCAAAAAAACAAAAAAAATCTTTGAAACAAAAATTAAATAATCAACAAACCTTCTTCAGGCACATATTTACTACGCATTGTTGCCATTGCTCTAAACAAAAAAAAAACAACATTTTTTTGAAATTTATTATGTGTTATTTTCATAGTATTGTTATATATGGTCAAAAAGATAAGGATTGACATGTAAATAGTTCGATTGAAAATTTTTTCAGAATCTCGTTTATGTTACAGACTAAGGAGAAAATGAAATTTTCAAAATCAGTAGCAGAAACTAAATAATCGATATAATTCAATACCAGATTTTACATGATCAGTCTTTCAATAATTTTATGAAACTCATAGAGTTCTATATAACTATACGATAATATCATGAAGAAAAAAAAGAAACTTACGGCCAAAAAACACCAACACAAAATTCAAAGATTAAAAATGCTGTAAACATAATGCCTTGATTCTAGAAAATAAATATGATTAATTTATATTAAGAAATTTTTGATTTACATAAGGCATAAATATTGGTACACTCATACATAATGCCGAAATAAAAACAATTGGTCTAAATAAATCAATAAAATTATAGATAAATAATAGTAGACAAATTTTCATCGATTCAAATTCAAATAGACTCTATTAATCCTATAAACTTTATAACACTAAATAAAAATTATCCTAAGAATTAGTAGTAGGTTACTTTTACTATTTATTGTATATAAATTCTTTTTTTAGAAATTCTAATAATTTTTCTATAACTAATCGAACGTATTCGTTAATCTTCGAAGATCATAGTTCAATGAACTTAACTTCAAAAACTGATTGTCTACAAAAAAACAACAATCGAAGTAATATGCGAACATCGATGGTATTACTATCAAGTAATCAGAGACGAACATGTTATCTAATCTTTTGAGTAAAGAGAAATTATAAACTAGATTCCAGTTACATGTTAAAATCTAAACCATATATTTAATTACAAATATTGTAAAAATTTTTCTACTTGAATAAAACATTAGATGTCCTTCATTATCATTGCCATTGTATTTAAATATTGAAAATGATATATTCGTATCCTTGACCTACTTTCTTAATGGAGTATTTTTAACACATATACAATTTTTTCAAACTTTCAATCAATTGAAGAATTCTATTCATTAGTTTAAAAATCTTTACCTCATAAATGATTCAGGTGTTGTATAATTACAAAAGACTTTAAAGGAATTTGATCCCATCATCATAGCAACCATATAACCAGCAAATATATATCCTAAATTAATAAAAAGAAAAAGGATTGATTTAGATATAAGAAAATAATTCTAACCATGTGGAATGGGCGGATTTTTATTATCTGTTTTATCAATAACTGATTGATTTGATGCTTCTGTTAATGCCGGTGTCCATTCAAGTACAAATACATACATTGATGCTTCAAATAAACCTTGAACAATACCAAGAAGAAATATTTTTTTATCTAAATAATATAATAATTTTAAATATTGAATTTATTTTTATATTATTTTACCAGATTTAATAGCTGTCCAAGCAGAAATAAATGATTGTAATACATGTGCATTAGCATCACCATAATTTTCTGACCATGTTGTTATTAATAAAATACACATTGCAATAAATGAAATTATAGCACTATCGAATGGAGCTCTAAAAAAAAGGAAAAATTTTTGTTGATATTCTTTTCTGTTGCAAAAAAAAAAAACTTTTTGGAGGCACGGTTGAAATAACTACATAATCGTAATAATATACAATAGACTATCTATAATAATAAATTATTTTCAAAATTTTCGACATCCTTCTTTAAACTTTATCCTTCATATGATAACTAAATATGAGCAAGATGGTTCCGGTGAAACCAGAACTTGAACAAAAATCAAAAATGACTAGTCTTAGATAGCAACGAGACAATTCTCTCAACTGATAACGAAGTTGTAAAATCGCTGGTTTGAGTTTTCTCTTCATCTGCATTCATATTCATGTAAGTAAATGTTCTAGATCCAAATGTATAGATGAAACCGATAGACCGGCCGGCTTAGAATTAGCACCAGCACCGGGCTGCTTTTACCACTTCTAGCTATGATTAAATGTCTACAACAAAAACTTATAGAATTGTTGATACCGAACGTATTAAACGTTGTTTCTAACAAAATTTCATTAGACATTTAATGAACAAAATCAACTAGGACCAATAAGAATGACATATTGGTAAGACCAACCGGTTCCATCTATGCTGACTATTTGTCTTAAATCATCCGTTCTCTCTCTTGCAATTAATATGTAATGATGAGATCAAGAACTCTGTATTATTTTCCTAACTGAGACATTTTATATTCATTAGCTATAAATCAATGAAATATTATTAAAGTCTTATCTTATATGAACACTTTCTGTTATTATTTCTAAATTGATATTTTTTTTTTAAACTTACACATAGCCAAAAGTATTTGCTGCAAATTGTGCAACTATTCCCGATATAATAGCTACAATAGAATTTCCAAAATATGCATTAGCAAATATAAGACCCAATGATTCTGGTTCAAAATTTCTCTATAAAAAAATTTTCTTGATTGCTTTGTTTTTTTTTTTTAAATTTCATATTCATACTCGTCGATGTTCATTAACTAACCATGATTCAAATGCACTAAATAAAATTGATGTTGCCATACCAGCAAGTAATCGTCCAACAAATAAAATATAAAAATTTGGAAAATGCTATAATAATAAAAAAAAAAAAAAAAAACATTTCTAATATTATACTTTAGAAATAAATTAACCTTAGTTGCACATGATATTCCATAAAGAATACCATACACGATACATGTATTTCGTCTTCCACTAAAAAAGAAATTCATTGAATTGAAATAAAACACGATGTGATCTTTTTCTTTTTTTAATCGTTACTATTTATCTGCAAGTGAAGCAACAATTGTACCAAATATCATTGATGAACCAAAGCCAGCTATAAAAAGTATTTCAATTTCATGTTTTTGTATTCCGTAACTTTCATATAACGCATAAACATGAGGACCTTGAAGCCAATCACCAGCTAGGAAATAAAGAATGAAATGTCATAAAAGAGAAATTAGATCTTTCTTTTTTTTTTTTTTGTTTATTGAATTTTTACCAATAGCTAATAGATAAACAAGTAAATAGGTTTGTTGAAAACCTCGATAATTAGGATCTTTTGAATGTTGTTCAACTTGTCGAGTATAGAAATGTAAAATAAAACATGCTAATATTAAAATTCCCAGAGCAAAAACAAATATATCCATTATAAATTTATTTTTTGCTATCTACAAGAATATGAAAAAGTTTTGTTCTGCTCGAACGACAGACATGAAATAGAACAGAACACAATTTCGTTTTTTTTTCCTCGCCATTTTGCTATTATTTTTTTTTTTTAATAACTCAATGTACGCCATTAATCAATCGAAAGTAGACGCATAATGCAACGGTATTTAACCAACTGAAATTTTTTTTGACATTACTAGAAAAAGATGTCGTTACTTTTCGAAAAAAAAAAATAATAATCCTTTAAAAAATATGAATGTACTTGAATAGATGAATCTGTCGTACAATATTAAGGGATACTCTCAAGCAATAATAAAATATTACTATCGATTACTAGTGCTTGAGAATACACTTAGTGATACGAATTTTTTCATTGAAATATAACCTAAAAAAAATTTGTTTTGCTTACTAGAGTCCATCGGATTCAAAAAATTCTTCGACTCGATGGACTCTCTATTTCTTACTCTGTAAATCATATTGTTTTACATCTATATTTCTTCTTGGTGTTTTTTTTTGTTCTTCTTTATACTAAAGACAAAAAGAAATGTTCACATTTTCTTGTCTTCCATTTAGAGTTATTAAACACTGTTGAATGTATGCTGGGTTTTTTTTTCTTCTTCTTTAACACATGCCGCTTCCTATTACTAATATTATGCACATACAATTTAATCAGTTGGAATCTCAGTTGGACTAAACTAGTTGATTTGTATATATGTGAATAAATTTTTTTTTTTTTGCTTTATGACAAATAGATTCATTTTTTTTTTTAATGAATATCAATGAGTTTCCAACAGAGAATCTAATTATGTAATCGAATGTCTTTTTCTTTATTAACGGTAAGATCGACAGAAAAAAGAAAAACATTTTTGTTTTGTGAGTATGTAGAAAAATACAAGGAGCACTGTATATCGTTAGTTGTTACTGCACAAGCAGAAAAAAAAAACATCACTGTTATACACACACACACACACACACGCACACAATTTGGAATAACATCAGATCGAGTTAGTAGTAGAAAACAAAACTTTGTTTTTTTTTTTTTGTATAAATAAAATATGTACATATCAAGGCATTAAAAGTTTATCATCATCATCATCATCATCATCATCATCATCACTACTAGCTTGTTCATCATCTTGAATTGTAGTAATTGGTATTGATGATGTTTGTTCTTCTAAATGATCACATAATGTATTTAAAGGTATTTGTCGTTTACAAATATGAAATGATGTTGATGGTGTTGGTGTTGTTGTTGTTGTTGGTATAGTTATTGATGATTGAATATCATTTTCATGATGAATAGATAATAATTGTTCATCAATATATGTTGGTGGAAGTTCTAGTGATTCAATATAAGATCGATTAGAAAGTGCAATCGGTTGTAAAGAATTATAACGTTCATATATATCAAAATCATTCGATGAAGTACTATTATTATTAGTATTTATTGAATGATTTCTTGCCAATAAAGAACGAAGTCGAGAACGAAAATGATCAAAACGATTTGTTGATAAATTTGAATGTGTTGTATTTGATTCAAGTAAAGCAATACGAGAATCTAAAGAAAAAATAATAGAAATTAATAAGATCGATACTGTCGAACACTTATTTATCATGAAGAAGAATTATAGATCAAAGCATACCTATAGAGTGTGGATGTTCAAGAAACACAAGACTCATACTCAATCAAATTTTTTTTATATATTTTTGTGTATCAAATATTTTCTTCTGTATAATAGAAAAAGATAAAGTCAAGACTATGTACATTATGTAGATCCAAATGAACTATGGATACTCTGAAAAGAGTTCGTAGTCTTAGCTTATTGTTGTAGAAATACTCCATCTTTGACTTTTGGCTTGAAACTTTGCATCGAGAAAGGTCTTAAAAACCAAAAAACATTATTTCCATTAAGGTCTGTCAAAAATTGAGTATCTCCACGGTAATAAACGAAGACTACGGATTCGTTTCAGGTTATTCATAGCTCATTTGAATCTACATCATGCATATAGAGTCTCGATTAGTGTATTATTTAGCATAGGAATCCAGAAGGCAGCGTCCTTCCGAAGATAAAATCTAGATAGAATACTAGTTTTAATTCAAAACCGATTTATTATTTCAAGGACTTCCCTTTGTCCGATTCATTAAAAGATTACAAAAAAAATGATTCTGTATTACCTTCATTTTGACTTTGATGATCATGATAACGATGATGACGACGATGATGTCTTCGATGTCTTCGATTTCTATGTCTTGATGATCTTGAAAATGATAATGGAATAAAATTATCTAAACCAGCTAATCTTAAATATTCTGTAAGTAATGCATGTCGTTCTTCATCATCATTCGAAAAACCCATTGTTTGATTATATGATGGTGGTGCTAAACGTCGTGTATTATCTGTTATAGTTGATGATGATGATGATAAATTATTATTATTATTATTATCATTATTATTATTTGTTGATTGTTGTTGAAATTGTTCTCGTCGATGTTGAATATATTGTTGAGGATTTAATAAACTTAATGAAGTTTGTCGTTCAATTAAACGTAAATGTAAAAGTTTACAAGTACATCCAAGTGCTATTATGAATAATGTTAAACAAATAGTACCACCAATAACAGCAGCTGTCATTATTCGACGAGATATACGAAATGGACAATTTATTTCATCAGAATTATCACCACAATCATTTGTACCTAGAAAAAATATTATTAAATATTCATAGAAGATTTTTTTTTTTTGTTTTTGCTTATATTCAAATATGGAAATAAGTTCATCAAGTATCGAAATAATCATTCTAATTATTGACATTCAATTTTATTTGTTGAATTCATTTATCGAATGATTTAGAACCATTTTAATTTTGTTTGATTCAATCGAATAATCAAAATTCACATAATACTAGATCTGGAGAAATATTTAAGTAAAAACTCAATGAACTTGTTTTTAGCTAATTGTGTAGCAGACATCGAAACGGATCGCCCGGCCCGACGATTTTATCCTTTTTTTGACATAACTTTTTCTGAGATTTGGCTCACCCTTGAGGGGAATAAGGGGAAGCTTCGTCACGCTACCCTCCTCCCCTTGGTCATCACTTTTTATAAAACCTGAAAAATATAGAATAGCTATCTATTGAGAAAAAGAAGATCTTTATAAACGAAGTTTCTTTCGGGCCATAAAAAAGTAGCCCGATTTCGAGGTCTGTTGTGTAGCGCTCCTCACGTAGAAAAGCTTTCAACCGAGCAAAAACTTTTGAACCTTACTGTATCTATTTACATAATTAGAACTTACCATCACAAATCCATGTTTCATAGATACAATTAAAATTTTTACAAAGAAAAGTTCCATTATTTGAATTACACCACCAATGTGTACAATTTTTTTCATCAATACGATTAACACAAAATGCATTTCCATTACAACGTTCAGACCATGTATAACATCTTGGTTGATCAGATGGCATATGTAATGGATCATTACATGCAAATGTTGTTGGACATGATGATGGTAAACAACCTAATTCATCATCACCACTAATACAATCCCAAATACCTTAACAAAAAATAAAATAAAATATTTTAAAATTCATTTTCTTTATTTTTTTTTTTTTATATTAAACTAACCATCACATCGTTGTTTAGATGAATAACATTTTATTTCATTATGACCATTACAAAGTAGTTGATTATATGGACATAAACTTGTTAACCATGTAATATTCAATAAAATATTATTGAAATTATCTTGTTGAATTTGTTGATATAGAAAAAATCGATTTAAATTTTCTTGTGAACGGTTTTTTCGTATAATAATTGTTGCTATATGATTTTCACGTGTTTGTATTATTGTTTTTTGTAATAACATAATAGATGATAGAAGTAAGTGATTTTGTTGTTCACTACCATCATAAATTAAAAATTCTAAATCAGGATGTTGATAAAGAAAATTATATTGATTTATAATTAATTTTATTTTATATTTTTCTTTAGCAATTATTATAAAACATAATGATTGATGATTAGATAGAGTAGAATTATCAAGTATAATTTCACCATGATCTTTATAATATGATATAATTGTTTCACAATTTAATGAATATGAACATTGAGAATTTTGTTCATATGGAATACAAACACCTTAAATATAAAACGATCGAGTTTAAGTTCAAGCATAAAATTTTTCTAAACAATAGACTCTAAAAATTTCATATTGTGAAAAATTCAATAAACAAAAAAGAATTTCCGAATATTTTTATGTCGAATGAGTTTTTTTTTTATTCTCAGCGTGAAAACAAGAAATTCAGTAAAATAGTTATAAATCAAAGATAAAAAAAATCAATTTGAATATGCCATTCTATAATTTTCCTATCCATCATTTGACTTCTAATTAATTATATTAATCTTATCTAGAATGCTTATCATAACAAGACTGTTTATAAACGATTGTAATACGTTTTGTATAAAATACCTTGTATAAAAATCTCGAATTACAAAAAATACATCTACATATTTATTTATTTTTCGTATATAAAACTCGTTAAATGAAAATATCAAGAATCACATTAATCATCGATATGTGAATATTTTATTGGATGTGCTTTCAAAGTAGAGAGTATCCTTGGTGACAGCAATAAGATTTTAAAGAATGTATCACAGAACAATAGGCTCTTCTAAATATTACGGTGGGAGTAGATTTCTAGCCGTGATGAACATTTCTATTTCAAAGATCAGATGCACAGACTATCTACAACATGTGAAGGATTTGAATATTAATTAGAAACAAAACGAAATCAAGGAATTACATTAGAAATATTTTAGATACAACTAAGCAAATAATCTCATTCACTTATAAAGTTTCACCCTATCAGAAATCGACCTTGGACTAGGTGCATTCAAATCACATGAAATTCTCGTTTTCGAAAGATAATCAACAAATAAAGCTTATTTGACAGCAGTGATCTTTCATTCTATAGATTGTATTTGAAAGAGTATGTCAAACTGCAATACCTGTTTTTTGTTTAAATTTTCAAAGAAAAACAAAAACAATTGACTACAATGAAGCTCTTTCGAGAATTGTGGAGTGTATGATTAAAAACAAAACATAAACAGAGAAAGAATTTTGGCAAGAAATCATGTTCCGTAGAACCCATTGGATCCGGATCAGACTCAATAGGCTTTTCTTACAAAAGATTAATCAATCAAGTTCGCATTCGAAATTTTCATCGATCGGATTCGGGTCCAAAAACTCTTAGACCCGATAGACTGTAACATTCAGACCTCGGACTATCATCCTATGCGTTTTCAATTTTTTGTCTCTTTTTATTGGCAGATCTTAACGTTTTCCCTATAGAATTATCTATTTGAATTGATAACTATCGTTACCGTTAGGATCGATTTTATCGGTTGTATTTGTTACAGGTAAACACCAAGTTTCATTCGAATGACATAATAAACTATTTGATGTTTTAATCATAGGACATAATGGACAATTGTCTTCATCACTATAATCATCATCGGAACATTCATATAAACAATTACATTTCCATTGTTTTGGTATAATTAAACCACTTTTAACACAATGAAAATAATCATTGTTATTATGAATATTATTATTATTTATATAAATAAATTCAAGTAAAAATCGTTGAATATTTAAATAATTTGATTGTAATTTTGATTGAAAATAAATTTCTAAAGTTGCTGATGATGATGGAATATAAAATGTTCTTTGATTTATATTATCAAATATAATTTGTTTATTATCAGTTTTTAATATTAATTCATTTGACCATAATGTTTGTTCATATTCTAATTTAATTAAACGTAATGAAATAATATAATATGATTGATTAAATTGTTTTTCATTATTAATTATCCATGAACATGATATATTTTTTATTTGAGATTGTCCTAAATAAAAATTTAAATTTTCTATATGACCATATGTTATATTATTATATATTGTATTCCAACATGAATTTGTTGATGTAAAAATAGAAAATAATATTATTATAATTCCATAATAATCATAAGACATATCTAGAATACAATAAAAAACTTCAAAAAAAGTTTTTACTAAAAGACGTTTTGCCATTTTTAAATCTATGATTTTGATCCTCTGTTCAATTATGTCGCTACAATCAATTCAAAGAATTATTTATAAATATGACATGTATTATTTAATAGTATGTCAAATGATATTAGAATAGAAGAGGAGGAAAAAAAAAGCATGTATTCAATTGAAAAAAAATAAGACAACAATAAATCATAGTTTTTATTAGTCAGTTGTTTTTGACGAATACAGAAAGAAAAAATATTTATAGTGAACGAGGAGAACATAAAAAATTAAATTGAGACGTATTTATGTACTGAAATTCGACATAAAGTTCGGTATGTTCTTATTTGATCTATATTCTTTGTTAGGCATTGAAATTTTTCCGAGTTTATATCCGTTTTACTACAAGATAGTTTCTATTGTGAATAACAATCTTCTTTCGTACAAGATTTTTTTTTGATTAATACTATTCAACGAAATGATTGTAGTAAGCAGTTTGATTAAACATATGTATAAATTTAAATAAGAAAAATATTTTACATAAGTTGTTCGTTTTGTTTTTGTTTCTATGAAATAGAATTATTAAATGATGAGTTAATAGAATTTATTCTTTTATTTCAATCTCAAGAGAATAGGATTTCATGACTTGATTCAAGATGACCTTTAATATATTGATGGAAAAAAAAAACATTTTAAAGTTATTTCGCGAAAATCGTTTAATAGAGAATCTTAAGTTTATCAGTAGTAAATAAGAAGATCTATTTCTGTTTTAGATTTTCATTTACAAATACAAATATTTACAACAATGTCATCATCAATCTATGATATATTTCATTATACTCCACCTATTATTAATCAATGTTCATCAATATCTTTAAATAATAATCAATCTTATTTAAATTCATCTTTAAATACATTACAACAAACATTTTTACCATGTCAATTACATAATATAACAGATAATTATACAAATTCTGTACAACTTGTTGATAGTAATTATTTAATGCGTGCACCAACACATTTTGATTGTTATATACTTTTATTTTTTGCTCGTTGGTGTTATTTTTCTGTTCGTTTTGCACCATATTTTAATGCTCTACCACGTTCATTTCCTGGTTTAGATTTTGTTGCTTATGATGTATCAAAATCACTTCGGTATACGAAAAAAAAAATTTTGTTTTTTTTTCAAATTAAAAATTTTGTTTTTTTTAGTTATATGACATATTTTGGTACAAATGCTGTACCAAGTGTATTTATATTACGAAAAAATAAATTATTAGCAAGATTAAATAGTACAAATGATATACAAATATTAATATCTTTAATTGAATCAACATTACGTAAGAAAATTTAATTTAATTAAAATAAAATTCTTTTTTTTTTTTTTTGTTTTTTAATTTGAAAATATTTAGATTTAAATCAAACAAATAATTTAACAATTAAAGATGAAGATCGATTAGGACCTGTAACAACAATATATGAACCATCATTTGATTATGCATTACTTTTTTCATGGTTATTTATAGGTTTATTTATTTATTATTATGCTGAAAAATATAATTTGTTAACAATTATTCGTCAGAGATTTTCTCATGAAAATTAAATTTTATATTTATTTATGTTGTTTTTGTTGTTGTTGTTTTTTTTTTTTGCACCTAGTCAGTTGTTAATGGTTTATTTTTTGTAGATAAAAATATAATCATGATCAACTGAAGAGATAATTTCGTTTTCGTAAAAATATTCTATATGAGTTTAGAAGAGATAGTTTGATATTATTCAGAATTTATATCATCGTAATAACGGATAGACTAAAGAATCTAAAATTTTCAAATTCGAATAGTCATCGCGAAGATACGAGAATTTTTTTTCCGATGTTTTGTATTCAGTGACTGTTGTACACTACATATTTCTCGAACGATTAGAACCAACCGGATGAGATATAATAAATCGGACTAAATGTAAATGTAATTTCCCTCTCATTTATATAACAAAAGAAAGAGAATTTTAAGTTTTATAAAAGTAAAAACTTCATTTTTGTAAAATTCACGAAATATTGAGTAGACTCCAAAATAGATGTAAAATTTTGTTTTTCTTTTCTTAATTCATTATGTCTTGAATTTTGCCACGAAGATGTCGTTTATAGTTCCTCGAAATCGGGCCATTTTTTTTATGACTCGGCTCGATTCAACTTTTGTTCAGCCTGGGTTCATAAAAAGTGATGACTAAGAAGGGAGAGAGTAGCATGAAGAAGCTTTTCCCTATCTCCTCTCAGAGGTGAGCTAAATCTCAGAAAAAATTATGTTAAAAAAGGATAACATCATTGGGTCGGACGGTCCGTTTCGAGGTCTGATATACAGTTTTATAGAGCTTGAAATTCTCTATCTTTTGATATATATGAGTGAATAACGGATGACCTAGATTAATGGCCGCGTTTTGCTTTTTATTTTTTCATCATCTAATACGTTTTATTAAAAAAAAAAAAAATATACCATAAGATACGGCGTGAAAAGTTCTACAATTTACATAAGATCGTTTATTTTATAGTTGCTTTTTTTGTTTTCAAAATGAGCAAAAATTGTTTTTTTTTTTTGAAAACAATTACAATAAGCGTTACTTTGTAGATTGTAGAGTTTTTCATGTTGCATCTTGCGGTATGAGTAGTAAACGATTGAAAAATTTCATTTACAATTAGTCTGATTCATTTTATACCTCGTCCGTTTATAGGATATTGAAAATTTATTAGAATAACCATTAGATTTCGAATCATATCTGTAACCACATATTGACAAAATGTCCTTTTTCTAGACTGATAATAGTACATTTTGCATTTATCTGGTATATTGTTTTTTTTTTGTATATTAATAGACAATAAATACGATCGTGACGATTAGTTCTTGATGCTTTTTCTTTACAAAAGAAGATTTTCTACTTAGTCGATTTTCCATCTTTTAAGTAACGTCGATGAAAATCATAATGTACTCGTTAGTTTCTTTTCCTTTACGAACACGATAATGCACTAGTCGTTATCATTTTTCTTTTGCATTTGTTTTAACGTCATTGGTAATGCTTTTCTTTCCTGTCTTGTTGTTGTTTATCGGATAAAGGAAACGACATAGAGAGGCTATGCAGTCTGTTCTTTTTCCTCTGTCATTTCTTTTTTTTTTCCTCGTCTAAGATTTGAACTAAGAAGAAAATATTTGCGATAGGTAATACCCATTGAACGACAAATAAAAACCTAAAGATAAGATTTTACTGGTGTAATCAAAATACTTGTCAATGTGATCTTCTTATTAGAACAAAAAAAAAAAAAAAGATTTTCATTTATCATTATTTTTAGATCATCGAACTTATAATGGGTAAAGGTAGTAAAAACTGGGATCCACCTACGATCGTCAATGATCAACAACAAGATACATCTTTGTTGACAACAACAGATCTCATTTTGAATAATGATGAAAATAGAGTAAGACAATTTACATGGGAAGAAATTCGTTGTCATTCAACTACTAAAGATCGATGGTTAGTGATTGATAATCGAGTTTATGATGTTACGAAATGGTTGAAACATCCAGGTGGACAAATGGTTCTTAGACATTATGCCGGACAAGATGCTAGTGTAAGAATAAAATATATAAGAAAAAAAAATATCTATTAAATGTTATTGTTGTTTTTTTTTCTTACTTCTTTCAAGGAAGCATTTCATGCTCTTCATCCTAATATGTCTCATGTTAAAAAATATCTTAAAACATTTTATATTGGTGATCTAAGCAAAGATAATATTAGTGATGATCAATCATTAAAAGATGATTTTGAACAATTACGACAAAAGGCTATTTCAAAAGTAAATTAAATTTATTTCTTAAATTTTAATATAGATAATTTTCTATTATAGAAACTTTTTCAACCAAGTGTTTTATTTTTCGTTCTAACATGTTTACATATATTAATTTGTGAATTTGCTGCTTATTTTGTTTTATTTCAATTTGGTACAAGTTGGTTACCATATTTAATTGCACTTGTTTTATATATTATTGCTGAAGTATGTTTAATTAAATCTTGAATCTTTGTTTTTTATTTATTTTTAGGCACAATGTGGTTGGGTTCAACATGATTTTGGACATTTATCTGTATTTAAAACAAGTACATGGAATCATTTATTACATCAATTTTATATTGGTTTCGTAAAGGTTTATTACAATATAAATAAAAGGCAAAAAAAAAAGAAATTAGTGAAATATTTTTTAGGGAGCAAGTGCTAATTGGTGGAATAATATGCATTTTCAACATCATTCAAAACCAAATGTTATTGATAAAGATCCTGATACACGTATTGAACCAATATTTGTGCTTGGTGATAAAATTCCAATTAGAGTAAATAAAAGAAAAAGACATTTTTCTTATTAATTAAATTTTTTTTTTCCTCCTCATCATAGGCAGCTCATAGAAATGCTAAATATGGAAAAAATTTACCATATCATCTTCAATATTTATATTTCTTTATTGGTAAATATAAATAATATTGTTATTTTCGTTTGTTTTTTATGAAACATGATGTTGAACATTTGCAGAGCGTGACAGACATTGTTGATAAACGATTACAAACTCTGTATATCAATAACAGATTGTTACAATATACTAATTGCTTTCTTATTATATTTTGAGAGGATTAAGTAAAATGAGAGGTGAAGAAGTATGCCGCAAGATAGACAGGATAATAAAAAAAAGAAGTCTTTCTATAATCAGCAACAGTAGTTTCAGATTTGAATTCCATAAGGATTGCGCTAACAGCTTGATTCTTTTCTTTTTTTGTTGTTGTATGTTATAGCTGCACCACTTTTATTTCCTCTCTATTTTCAATTTATGACAATAAAACATGCAATTAACCGACAAAAATGGATGGTAAAATTCTGAAAGGAAATTTTTTTTTTATTGGTTGATTAATTTTTTTTATAGGATCTTGTGTGGTTAACATTGTATTATGTTAAATATTTTTCAATAATGCCATTAAAACTTGGTTTAATTGGTGCATTGAAATTCTATTTTTTGATTCGGTAATTTCTAATATTAGAATTTAATATAATATTTTTTTTTTTGTTGATTTTTCTTTAGAGTATTTGAGGGTACTTGGTTCGGTATGTTTAATCTTATCCTTAATTTTTTTTTTTTTTTTATTCAATATTTATATATGTGAATTTAGTAATTGTAACACAATCAAATCATGTTGTTATGGATGTATCACATGATGATGAAAAATTAAGTTGGTTTCGAATGCAATTAAAAGCAACATGTAATATTGAAAAATCATATTTTAATGATTGGTTTACAGGTCATTTAAATTTTCAAATTGAACATCAGTACGTTCATTTATTACAAAAAAAATAATATTAAAAACAATATATTATTTGTTTTAGTTTATTTCCTACAATGCCTCGTCATAATTATTATAAAATTCAACCGGATGTGATTAAATTATGTCGAAAATATAATATTCCTTATGTTGTTAAACCGATTGGACAAGCATTTATTGATATATTTACGTAAATAAAAGAATTTTCTATTTTGAAAATAAATCCCTTTTTTTTTTTGTGTTTTGATTTTAGTTCATTGGAAAAATCTGGTCGAATGTGGCGTGAAACTTATGAAGAATTAATGAATGCGTCTAGTTCAATAAAATCAAATATATAATTGAGCGTACAATTCTTCTTTCTTTTTTTTTCTCTTAAACGCGAATATCGTAGTTTTCTTAGAACAAAACAAAAAAAAAATGATATCTGACTAATATGTTTCTTTTTTAATCACATAGATTTATGTTGAGAATAATAAAGAAAATTTTCCACAAAAAAAAATTGATTTTTATTTAAAATGAATTTATTCGATATAAATATTTCACAATAATTTCTATAAAATTCAACATCAAGATTCCAACGAAACGAAACAAAAAAACAAATTATGCGTATATAAATAAGCAAACATAAAAGAACAAAAAAAAAAAAAAGAAAAAATTCTCAAATAACAAAAGTTTATTAAGTTTCATATTTTTCTTTTTTTTTTTTAATTTTGATCTTGAACTATTTGAGCTATTAAAGTTCGAGATGAATTATATATACCTTTTACCTAAAAATAAGCATAATAATTAACAAAAACAATCTTTCTATTTATTTACATACTTTATTATGTTTTCTTAACCATCCTTCATGTGCTTTTGAAATTGATTTTGATTTTCCAAATATATAAATATATTTAACCTGTGGAAGATCATGTAAATGTGGTATAAGTGTTGGAGCAAGTGTTGTTGAAATAATAACAAGTAATTTTTCTTGTCTTATATGATTATTATTCATTCTACCAATTTGTTTAATATATCTTTCACATGCATCAACTCGATCAAATATTCGAACATAATCAATAAGATTTTTTAATTTAACTTCTACATCGATATTTGATAATCGTTGATGAATATTAGTATCAAGCCAAACAAGAGATAAATTATCCATATTTGTTGTTGATATATCTATTAATATATTTTGTTGAGTACATGTTGGTAGAGATGTAAGATTTTTTTTTGATTTTTTTGTTGTTATAGATTGATTTAATTCTGATGAAAATGATGGTATACTTTCATTATGATTTTGTGATGAAGTTCCATGATCAAAATCATATTTGCCATTTTTCGATCCCATTTTGTTCAAGGAAAAATGTTGATGACGCCTTTAAACTTTCTTTTATTCTTTTCTTTTTTCGTTGATTTTTGTTCTGTTACATTTGTTGATTTAAATCACACACACACACATACATACATACACATTATATGAGAAATGAATTCAATGCATACTTATTATCGAATGTCAAAGAAGCAAAAGAAAACGAAAGAAAAGAAAAAAAGATCTTCGATTTAATTTATTCTTTCTCTCTTTCTTAAACTTGTCATATAGAATAGTCAATATCAAAAAAAAAAAAGGAAAGAAATTCTTGATCTATAATATTTCTGTTATCATATAAATCAAAATCTTATAATGATAAATTAAAATGATTTATTATTTCACATCTATAACGATATTGATTTTGACAAAGTAATCTGTAGTGTTGTGTAACATTATTATATGAAATAGTTGAAGAAAAAGAATTGTTTTTAATATTCATATTCATTTAAATATCATCAATGTGATAAGTGAAAAATAAATATCTAGACTTTTTAGTATATGGTTAAAATGAGCGAAAACGAAATATGATCATCTTTGATTTGACTTCGATTCTTTATAAAGGTTAATTCTTTTTTTTTGAATATATACAAAAGTTTTGGCTCTTTCAACTTACATCGAATTACTGAACAACTCTCGTACCTAAAGACGGAAAAGTCTAAGAATCACGCCGTACTCTATATATATGGTGAAATTTTCAGTGAGTTTGGACTGTAAAAATCGTTCCCTCTCAAAAACCGATTTTGCAGAGGCCTATCCTGGCCCTAGAATGAGATATTTCATTTCGCTATCATCTTACGGTTTGTATTGGACTTTTCATTTAGTTACAAGAAGATTTTTCACTTCCATATTCATATTCACTCACGTCATTAAGAACGAATAGACTCAATTCTTTGCAAAACCTAAGTATGTTTAACAAAAACTTTATGTAGAGATTTTATAGTATGAAAAGTCCTCTACAAAACGCACGGTGTAGCCGAAATCGAGAGATATACAGACTTTTATTTTACTACTAAGATAGTAGGTTATTTTTAAATACACTATGAAGCGTACTTACCTAGCATAGTTACAGGCTATGATTTTCGGGTTTGTTACATGCTGCGCAAATCGTCTGTCTATTATGTTTTGTTATACAAAAAAAAAAAAACTTGATGTTTTTGAATAGAACATGAGAAATGAATTTTTCTTTCATTATTGACGTAATTTACTATAACCTTTTCCATTAGTTGATTAAATCCATGTTCTTACTCAACAATCAAGTTTTCTAAATGATAATATTTCCTCTAGTTATGACATTTCTATATACATAACTCATTAGCCTTCTTATAAAGATAATTATCTACTTTCATTCTATTATCATTATAATATTCGTTGGGAAAAGTAGAATTCAATATAATACTCGTATCAATTAATATCGAGATGAACTCAGATTTAAAAAACATTTTCATTCTCATAATCTAATCAAATATATAGTAAGATTTCATTTCCGAGAACTATGAATTTGAATAATTCTATTAAACTATATTAGAGAATTTAAATAAATATAAAGACACAACTAAAAATGAATCATTCATCATTTGAACTTCACTATAAATTCTTCTTGTTCGTGGAATGTTATTCAAGCTATTATAGATGATGACAAACAACCATTAAATACTTGTTTTTTAATGCACAAAAAATGTTGTTTCAAAGTATGTGTTTGTTTTTATTGTGAATGAATAATCCTCTGGCGTAAGATTTAAATTACCATGAATATGTCAAGGCATTAGATGCTGTGTGTGTGTGTGTGCGTTTTTTTTGTATTCTTTTCACATTATGGTAAATGATCGTTTTCTTTTTATAACCTTGTTTAAAATATTTCATTACATTCGTAGTTTTAAATTATGCGAAAGTTAATACACTGTTTGATCAATTCAAATATCAAAAGACAAATTTATTCATTAGGAATTATCAAATAGAACTACGGCTGATTAAATCAACACATTTATTAAATTCATCTTCATCGATGAATTTTTTTTGGTATATTCAATATTGTACATTCATTAAAATAAATATACAGTTTCGAATAATTCTTGTTACCTTGAAATGTATTATACGAATTATTATTCCAATAGACAAACTTACATTGATTTTATAATTTTGAAAGTTGAAGATGTTGAAACATAAATTTCATTTGAAGTTAGTTTGATTTTTCTATCAAGGTACAAAGAAGATTAAAAAAAAGAAATTTTACTTTTTTGTTTATCGTAAAACTGCAATCACAATAGAAGACTCTGAGTTTTCTACTATATCCAATCATAGAAAGCTTTCAAGATAGACTTCGACTGTATTTCATTTATTTACCTAATTTTTTCAGAAAGTCGAAACGATTTCGAAATTTTGTGAAGAAATTTTTAAAACTATTCTTGTTTTGATGTATATATACTAATTAGTGTTTCAATTTTTTCAAGCAAATTACGTCCAGCACTGTTGAAATTTGAAATATGCCATAAAATGTCTGTCACAGTATCAGATGTTTTCCAACATATTATGGATACATTTGAATTTTTTTTTGTAATGGCGAATGCACTAAATAGAATAAATTGCACTATGGTCCTGGCACCAATATGAAAAATCAATGAACATTAGAGAGAGCGAAGAATGTGAGAAAATATGCCAAGATAATTTTCTTTGACTGTTTCTTGTTTGTTTTTTTTATCCGTTGTCTCTCTGTGTATTTGATTTCTATTCTAGAAAGTACGTTATTACAAGAACTAAGTGTAGATGAGAGAATGAAAGTAAGGAGAAAATAAAATACCATAGAATATGAACAAATCAATACGCACTGACAGTGAAGCACAAAAAATTATTTCAGCTAGGTATATACTTATATCTACATGTCCAAAATTAATCTCATACCTTACTTCTTCGATCCTTTTCGTCATACTATTTTCGGTTAACTTCAAATTTATATCACAGATAGGGTGTGAGTGTAGGTATCGGTCTGATTGGAAAGAAGATCCTTGTCACGACATCTACAGACAAATAATGCAAGCCCGCATCCAAGTTTCGAAGGTTCTACTCTTATGTATTTCATTCGAGTGGTTTCAATTCAAAGTAATGAATAAAAACAAATACAATCTATGTGTAATTTCATTTATAACTCACAACTGTGAACGTCCTTAACAGCAAGTATGTTTCATCAATAGCTAGTTAAGTAAAAACAAAAACTCTTGGAGCTCTTTTCACTTTCGAGAGAAGACGACAAAAATGATGAGACAATCATATTCGAAATTGAACTTATAAAATCAATTTGATTTCCGAACATTTTAAATTAGATTCTACTTCAATAGTTAAAAGTTCAATATTGAACATGATACAAAGCATATTGACGAATACACTTCTGATCTAATAGAGACTTCCTGTTTTAGTATATATTCGAATAAATATTGAAAATTACACCGATAATATTTCAACAGTTTTACTCAGCAAATATTTGAATTGAAACAATAATGAACAGTTGTCAAACATAGAATTAGTACATTTCTTAGGCAGGCATACAACAATAGTAAGTTGAACCATTCAATGGAATTCCTTCTGGATCGATATACGTGTAAGTACAGTTATCGGTTCGAAATTCATGACTTCGATGATAATTAGAATGAAGGAACGCTTGAGTACCATCTGACCTTGGTACTTGTTTGTAAGAATTGTAGCGTAGAAGAACATAATTTCAATTGGGTACAAAATTCTCCTTCATTAATCGAACGAATTAACTTTTGTGAAATCCAACAACCATAGTACAGACCTATAAAACACGCATACATGAGAAGAAAATATCTTGAAATCATGCGAATGATAGTATACCGATAGATTGAAGTGAAGTCTCATCATATGATGATCGACGATGTATAAAAATTTATTCAATATTTTTTTTTTGCACACCGTGGTAGTGATGATTCTATCGTATCTTCCTGTGTATTACCTGACATGAGCGACAGAACGAAAAGCAATGATCATGAATAATCGTATTAACAATCAATATAACAATGGCAGGTTATTCGAACAAAAAAAGAACCGCCTTCGAATTGATTCCTCTGAGGATTGCATAATAAAACTGTAAGAGGCAACAAACTCCGTGAGCCTAGGTATTCACTAAATAAACAAGTAATGTAACACAAGAGACATGTGAAGAGGACAATAGACTACACTAATGTATAGCAGGATACCGACCGAATCATATGACGGTATACTTCATCAGAACAACTACAGTCACGAACGTACACAGCAACAGTTCTCACATCAATCGAAATAGATGTCACCATTGGCTATCGATTTCACAAAAATGGTGGGGGGGGGGGGGGGGGGGTGAAAAAGACCATAAAAGGAAAAATAGTTGTGAACAAATTTGTTAATTAATTTTTTTAAGAATTCGCACGAAAGCAAAGCGCGCCTTATGAAAACTGTTTACGGCAGTAAATCCCCCGGCAGTAAATCCTGTACACGACACGAAGGGTGCCAAGTATTGATGAAAAAAACATCGGATTTGGACCCGATCGGGCTCGGATCTGGGTCCACAAAAAACGTGGACTCGCAGCTGCCTAATGTCCAGAGGCGTTCCTAGGTCATCAAGATTGCATGCGGGCAACAACTGAGAAGATAGAATTCACAATATTTGGAAGGTCGATCTTTATTGTGAGAGATTGATGAACAAAAAAAAAATCGTTCAGTTTCGCTGGAGGAAAATGAAAATTTTTCAATGTTGAGGAAATTTTCCGTAGTTGTTTTAATATATTATTTTCGAAAAATTTTCTCCTAAATAATGAAAGAATTTTATTAATGTTTGTATTTTGAGAGATGTTTAATATATTTTCTGTATAGATGAACGTGATATAAATACAGACTTTTTATTGGTTTTACTTTGTGATATGCTTAATGCTTATTCTCAATTGAAAGTTATTCTTATGTCTGGTATGTTAAAATGTTTTAAATAATTAGAATAAAAAATTTTATAAGTTTTTTTTTAATAATTATTTAGCAACGATTGATGTAACGTTATTTCGTCAATATTTTTTTAATTGTTCAATAGTAGAAATTGAAGGGCGAACATTTGGTGTTCGAGAATATTTTCTTGAAGATATGATTCAATTACTTAATTTTCAACCAATGAATTCATTAACAAGTCGAAAACAAAATAATAAAAATCGACAATTACAAGATGATGATGACGATCTTGGATATGAAGATTCACAAGCAGATGATATTGAGGTTTTCATTGTTTTCTTAATTTTTTTTTTTTTCAGGATGATCATTCCGACTGTTAGAAATGACAGCTTAAATTATATTAAATCGATATAAAAAGGCCTAATCTGGAAAAATCGTCGGTCATTTTTTTGGGTGGTCATCCCAGATTAAGTAGCGTTTCCATTAAAAACTGATGTTCAGTGTCCGGACTATACTTCATCGAATAATGTCTTATTTACACTGTTTTTTGTCACACACGCCTTATTTAAACTACTTCCGTTATATTCTAGATAACTCGCTGCTGATGTTTTCTATTGTCACATGAAATATTCTGTTTCATAAATAGAAGTTTTACATACATATCTACCAGCATACGTTACATCGAAAATAGATGTGGGATGAAAGGGTGCAAACAGACACAACAGTTATACTTCCTATGCATGAAAATACCATCAAATATGTTTTCCCATAAATTTGTTTATTAATAAAACAAACACGATGATTTAAAAAATATATTTTTTAACAAAAAACTCACTGCAGACGTTTTTAAACGTAAACAAACTGTCGTTTCGATATGTGTTGGGAAACATCATTGAAACTTTAATAAACGTTTTAGAAAGTATCTAATAATGTTTTTAAGATACTTTTTTTTTATTCTGTAAGAAAACAGGGGAAGTAGAGCTGTAGGAACAGTTTACAAGCCGTTCTATTTCATCTGGGTCTCCTTGTTTTTTTCATTATTTATAGTTTTTAATGAGAATAATGCCATAAGGACTTGAACTGTTATTAATTTTTTGTCGAGTTCTATTGTTTAATTTTTCATCGAATTGAATTGAAACTTATTTTTGTACAGTCACATCAAAATCTCAGAGGGATTTTCAGAATTTTCTTGAATCTTCGATTAATCAGCTCGTGACATTTAACTCAAGTTTTACAGAACCATAAAAGATATTATTCCTAATAAATAAGTGTTGGTCCTGATCTTATCTACTTCTACCTTGATGATTAGTTCATAATTGATTTTATGTTGAAAAAACCTAAGATAGGAAATGAATTATAAATTTTTTTCTCTTTTGAAAGGATGTTAATTGTAATGCCATATGTGGCAAAGAATATTCTCGACAAACAGCAGCAGCAATGAGTCAATTAAGTGAAAAATCACTTTCATTTCAACTAATTGAAGTAAGAAAATAAATTCAATAAAAAAAAAAAGAAAAAAAAACGAAATAATTAATTTTTAAGGCATTAATAAGTTATATCTGTAGTTTGAGTGATGATGGAGCTATATTAATATTTTTACCTGGATGGAATTTAATTCAAGCATTACTTAAATATTTTCAACAACATCCAAGATTTAGTAAATTATTTGTTTGTTTGTCTATTTTTTTTTTGTTTCATTAAATATATAACAATGGCCATAGGTAGAAAAAAAAAGAAATTCTTTGAATAAAGTTTCTAAAAATATTTAATATAACTTTTTATCTGAATCAATAGATTACAAAGATTTTCCTTCATTGTATCAACTTATAAAATATATGACCAAAACTATAAATAAATATGTATGTTGTCTTTTTCACTATGGAAATCTTAGATTTATATATTGAATACCATGTGGACGTTGAAAATCCTGTTTTTTTCCACTTGAAAACATTAATTGTATAATATTATCTTTGTTCTTTTTTTAAAATTAATTATATTTAATAATACAAAAATCAAAAGGGAAAAATTATTATCTTATACGATGACGATGAACGAATTGCTCCAAATGCTGCAACGAATTTGCTTGAACGTGGTTATAACAATTCTTTTTTACTTACTGAAGGTAAAATTTTCTAAGAAATGATCATTTGAATTTCGATAAGATTGACAGTTTTTGTGATATTAGTTAAACAATTTCAAAATGTGTATGTGTTTTTTTTGTCTTTTCAACAGTATAAAAGATAATAAGTAAATGGTATTCATTGAAATAAGAGGTGTTGATAGGAGCGTTTTTTTGTTTCCTCAACGGAAATGTAAAACACACTTTTCAATTGACTCTTAGATTTAATATTTCATAGTAAGTTTTAATAAGAAAAAAAAAACATTTGTCTATCCTATTACTGACTTCACTTCGTGTGATGATATGTTTCTATTATCATTAATCTTTATTATTTAATGAATTACTGAAAAATATAAAGAATATCATTTGAATTTATCTATTTCAATTAGCGAATTCTATTCTATGAAACAAAACAGCTTCTAACAAATTGTAAACAAAGAAACATCTAGAAGTCACTTCATGATAGAGATGATTAACTAAGCATATGGTCCGTACTTGGGCCGTCTCTTTCGTATAATGGCTCCTAGGGATGTTAATACATTGTATGATAATTACTAACAATGAAGGTGTTTGTGTTGATAATGAAAAAGACAGGACATATTCGGGCCAAATCAAAACTCACATCGTCAAACTAACAAGGTTAAAATATTAACGGCCCTTGGCTTGCGTAGAGGGAGATATTTAAATTTTAAAGTATGTGAAATTTAAGTATAAAAATGAATCAAAAAAGGTTTTCTGCACTATTATAAGGACAAAACATAGTGTCGTTTGGGCCGATTATGAGGTTTGTAGGGACCATTCTTTCATATGATCCGAACAACACTATGTTTTTGTCCTTATAATAGTGGAGAAAATCTTCTTTGATTCATTTTTATACCTGAATTTCACCTACCTAACAATTTAAATATCTCCCTCTAGGTAACGCAAGGGTCGCTAATATTTTAACATTGTTAGTGGGGTGACGAAAGCTTTTATTTGTCCTGAATATGTCCTTTCTTTTTTATTATCAACATCAACACCTTCATTGTAAATAACGTTCAGTGTTTATTTACAAAAGCTTTTTTTTTGTTATTATCATCACAAGAACATTTTAATTAATAAAAAAAAGTTTATTATCCTTAAAGATCAATAGAATATGAAGTATGCTATAAGCAAATAAAAATAATTAATGAATAAATCTTGTAGCTGTTATGAAATAAAATCATTTCGATGAAAAGACGTAGAATTGACTTACTTTAAAATGACAAAATAAAAAGAACTCTATAAACAATAAAAAAGTCTTGTAGGATATGTTGTTATTGTAATTGATATTCAACAATTTTGATCATTAGATTTCTTCAAATTGAATTCTTCTATATAATCAACAAAAAAAAAGAAAGATTTCTTTCTCTTTTATTTTTCATGAAAAGTAAAATCAATAAAACAATACTGAAAGTTCTAAAATTTTGAAATGGGATAGTAAGGGTAAAAAAAAACCTTATATATGGACGTTTAAAATATTTGAAAATCATTGAAATTATCGCATGCCATATGCTTAGTTAATAATATTTTGCATCTACACTTTAGACGATGAACATATTGCTTTTTTTTTGTTAAAAATTCAAAAAGTCACATTTCTTGTGTCTTAACTTTTCATCTAGCTTGTTACACAATAACTGATGAAGTCATTACCTGATAAATATTGTTAATAAGAAAAAAAAGAAAAGAAGCAGCATTTCTAAATAATTTGACTTATTTATTCGAATGGAATTTTTCTCATATGTAACAAGCATATCTCGTACTGAAGATATACTGTTTATCGAATTTATTGCATATTAACTAAACAATCAATAATATTCAATAGATTAATGATATTATTAAGCGCTCGGACACATGCGAATGCTCCATTGTTGGCTGATTGATCTTTTGTAGATAGAGCCCATGGGGTCCAATTCATACTTAGACCCAGAAAATCTTGGGCCTAATGGGCTCTAGTTCACAGGGTGTTAGAGATACGCACCATCACTTTTAAAAAATTTTCAGTGTTTTTTCTTCAGCCAAAATTGTATTTGATTATGAAAGAAAAACTGCAAAAAAAAGGAAAGCCCAGTACTTCTTCCTATTCTAGAAAAAATTTTATATCTTTAGGTTTAAAATATGGTATTCGAAAATTTTCTCGTGGTCCTTTAACTGGTTCGTGTCCATTATCATAGACATTACCAAGTGCACCACAAACACCATCAACAAAACTTAAACGTTCACAATCAATGAATACAAATCGTCAAGAAATACCCGTTGGTCAATCTGTTGCCAGTGTAACACGACCTTCACCAGGTTTTATGGTTACATTTGATACACCTGAGGAATTTACAAATCATGATATTGAAGAATTAAATATACAACTTGAAAAAAAATTATTACCAACCGATAGTGGTAGTCATTTATCACGTTGACAAACACAAGCATCAAAAGTTTCATTGAGAACGTTCTCTAAACTATATGTTGCGAGATTAGGCTTAGTTCCACTTACTGTTTTTTTTTATATGAATACAATCATAGATCAGTAAAATGAAGATTTTAGACTGGTATAGATCGATATCAGTTCCATCTATGAACTAAACAATTGATAATTCGTATTTGTTGTTTTTATTTTCTTTATTTCATACGTTAATAAAACAAAAAGAAACAAACAAAAATATCTCATGCTCAAAAACAGAGAAGTTATTTTCATATCGAAACAAAAATCACTTAATGATGTATGAAAAGAAAACAAACAAAAAAAATAACACTATACATTTGATAAATGTTTGTTAGAAAATTTTGTAAAAAATAAATTTCATTGATTTAAATTTATTGAAGATATCAAATTATTTGTTACAATTATTAATTCATGGTTATCAGCTACATAATAAACAGCATAACAATCAACTGAATAAGATTCTAAATATTGTTCTATATTGAATATATGTAAAATATCAATTGACAGATCATTAATAAAAAAAAATCTTGATTTAAAGATTTAATAAATGCTGAATAAATTGTTAATAGTTGTTGAGCACGTGGTAATTCAATTAATTTTAATTTTTCATTTGTTATACAATCATTTGTTACTGAACAAAATACAACACCATATGATAAATTATCCATTTGAACAAGAAAATTTATTGTTTTTTCATTAACACATAAATATATAAAACGTCTTATATCAGGAAACCTATTTGTTAAATCAAAATCATGCACATGAACTAATTTTTCAAGAATATTTTTTAATAATGTCCAACGACCATTACGATTTAAATAAATATGATACATATATAGATCGTATACAGTATCAATACCAGGCTTTGGTGCATCTTTCTATGGTAAAACTTCAATTTCGACCCGTCTTCGAAAAATTGAATTTTCTGAGGGGGGAGGGGACCCGGTTAATTCAATGTTTTTTTGTTTATTTTAGTTCAACTTGAACATTGAAATCGAACAGTAAATATTTTATTGACTACATGAATTTTATTTTTATTTATTTTTGTTCAATTCGAACATTCAAATCGAACAATAAGTATTTTATTTATTAAATGAATTTTATCTTTGTTTATTTTAAGCATAGATTCTAGATTAATTTTATTTATGATATTTAGATATAATTGATAAATTAATTTAAATAGTTTAAGAGAAAAGAAAAACACTTTATACATTGTTTTTTTAATTAAAATAATTGCGAACTAAAAAAAATTATTGTAATATGATTAAATATATTCTGAATTTTTTTAAAGTTAGAAGAATATTGAGCATAGGCGGCGGAGCCATTAGGCTTGGGTAGGCTTAAGCCTACCCTAGATTGGAGAAGGGTAGGCTTGGGTAGGCTCGAACGACGAGAGAGCGTAGGCTTAGGTAGGCTCGAGCGAGGAAAGAGTGTAGGTTTGGGTAGGCTAAAAATAGAACAAATCAAGGCTTTGGTAGGCTCAATAAAATATAAGTTTTCCATTATTGTTTACTTTTCATATTCTTCTAACATGAAACGTATTTTTAGAAGTTCAGTGCATCTTTTCACTTCTGCTAACTTCGTGCTCCATGAAATATTTGTTGAATTTCGTTAGTATCTATACTGTCATAGAATTTTTGGTTCTCAAGATAAGACAGTTGAATTGGTTTTTTTGTGGATATCTATTGAAAATAATTTCTGAATTTTAAATACTTGAATAACGTTACTTCTTTCGTATAATGATACAAGCTAAACAAAATCAGAATATTTTTTTTCGAAATTGAAAACAGTCCAAGAATAGTTTTGATGAAAACCCATTTTCTGTTGAAATTTTCATCTAAGAGTCCAAATGATACTAAAGATGCACCAAGATTATATACAGAAATGCCATAATTGGAACCAGCCGAAACCTCGCTATCAACTTCATCAAATATCTATTCTGATTTTTTTTTCAAAGAATCAAGATAAGAAAACATCTTCTGTTCTTGAATAGTTTTATTCCTTGTTAGACGATCCTTCTATTGCTTTTTTAAGGCTCCGTCCCTCAAAAATCTATCTCAGACTAGGAACATCCAAATTACATGACACTTTCAGGATATGTTGGGGCTGGTGTAGGAAGGTATGGTAAAATTTTCAACCATATATCATGACGTTTGACAGAAGTATTCACTAAACAAGGGTAAAAAAATAGCTCGATCGTATCTCTAAGAATTGTCTGTAGGCCTTTATTCTATACATTTAATTTTTTTGTTTCAAGCTCTTGTTTAAGGTTAGCTTCTCTTGTGATCCATTTGTTTTTTTAACTTTTACTTTTTAAGCGAAGAAAAGAGATGAGAAGTTCAATGATTCAAAAAACCGTAAATAATGGACTATTTCTATAGAGGTGTTTCTTATATGATGATAAAAAAGCTTATTTCAAAAAAAAAAGGCGGCGAGAGGCCTAGCCATATACACGAGCCTTCAAACAAAAAAAGTTATTGGCTACAATGAAGCTCCTTCCAGAATTCTTGGAGATACAATCAAAAACTGTAAAACGAAAAGGATTTTTTGGTTTTTTCAAAAACAGCCTATGTTCCGAATAGAAGATGAAAGAAATCTTCAAAAGTTTCTAGAAAAAGCGAAGTGCCGAATAAAAATGTTTGCCGTGTATGAGAGATCGAATCACGAGCTATCTTCCTCTGCATTTATCTGAATTTTGATCATTCTGAGGAATAGTGATTTTTCTTGAGAGATCCTTAAATAGCCTTTTTCAATTACTTCCGTATGTCTTGTTGTGCTAGGAAACGATGTCGCACTACATATCTAGTTATCGTGTTTATAAAGAATTAAAGTCTAGGAAGAAAAGCTATAAGGCTCACCATTATAGAAAAAATAAACAAAAATACTTATTAATCCGTTCGCATTGGTCTAGAAAACAATTAGGACTAAAATTATATTGAAATCGATTAAAAATTTATTATTATATTGCAATTTTTGCCTATTTTTAATCATTATTTAGACGACTTTGATCGAAAAAACCCAAAGTTCATTTATAATACGATTGACTCTGATCATAATCGATTAGAACTTATTTAAAAAACCGACTCTTTTTGATGCAAACTGATAAAAATTGGGTGAAGAAATTTTTCATTTATCACAAAGAAAAGTTACTAAAAATCTAATGATTATAATCGATTTAATCTGATTTCAATCCGTCTTTCATATGAGCAGACTTGGTTCGACTGAAAAGTTGAGCCTACCCCAGACTGGATCCGCTCCGCCGCCTATGATATTGAGTATTAATAAGGTTCACGTATTAGAATGATTTAAACAATAGCGACACGTGTATTTGGCATAGAAATGAGTGTACGTGAACCTAAATATTTAGAAAAGGTTAATGATTATTTAAAAAAAGAATGTATCCAAATCAATTTACCATTAAACCAATCAACTTTGACATGCTTTAATTTTAGATATTTATTGATTATTGTTCCTGAAATTTTTTTTGCCTAATAATAATAAAATTAAATAAAATAATTTTTTATATAATAGAATCTGATCATTCCATAATGTTAATTTGATATGAACATCATCCTGAGCAGCATGGAGTTCACGTCGACTCCACATATTAGAATTGGTATTTCCCACAGTTATTCCATAATCTCTTAAAACTTTCACGTGAACATCTATATTGTATGATTCATTATATAAATTATCAATATTTTAAAATTAATTTTCATTGATGAATACGAACCAATTATTGAGTGTAATGGTAGTGTTTCAACATGACGCAAATGTGTAAAATTATAGATTAATTGGTACTCGAACGGAATAATAATTTCTCGTACTTTACTGGTTTCAGTTGTAATCAATTGGTAATCGTGTGGTAATTTTTTATAAGCAGGATCAACAGTACGAATAGATAAACCGCTGAATTCGTATGACTATATACATATATATATATAATGAAGTCATTTTTTTTAATAGTATTTTATTACTTTGTTTTCAATTAACTTGATCGACATCATGTATGAGTCGAGATTAAAGGCTACTAAATTTATCTCGCTCGTTTCATCAGCTAAATCACAGGTGAAGACTTCTCCTTCACCATTTGAGTTGGCGTATGTTCTTTTTTGATGTTTATATGTAACTATGGCTCGTAATGACCATCTGTATTATATGTATAAGAGGATATAAAGAAAAGAATAAATATGATTCATTATGAGAATTAAATAATGTCATATTTAAATTATTCTTTTTTAATATAAAGCAAAACTATTTATTATATATATATCTGTAAAAGAAATGAAGCATATATTGGCTTAGATAAATTAATAATAAATGCATGTAAAATATATTAAAAAAAACATATGTTAGTGAGAAAAATGAAGAACTTACGGAAAATCGATATCAATATTAATTTGATTGATTTTTAATAAATTTGGTTCATTATCTTTAATGAACATTAAAATTAAATTCTTAGGTTATAGATGGAAATAGAATATTTAATCATTAGACAATGAAAGAAAATTTCTTCTAATACATGTAAAAAGTTTTTTATTAGAAATATTCTTATTTTTAGAAATATTATATTTGATGTTTTTTTTATTTCTTTATAAAACATACTATTTTGTATATTGACGATTTCAACAATATCTTCTTCTGTTTCTTCATTTTGATCTTGATTAATTATGTTATTTGTATTACTATTATTATTTAGATTAATACTATTATTTATATTACCAGATATATTAGCATTAATATTATGAATAAGAGAATGATTATTAGTTTCATTATTATTAGGATTTAAACTATCATTATGATTAGCAATATCATTAAGATTAACACAATTACTATGATTATCATTATTATTACGATTAATAGCATCATTATGATTACCATTAATATTAGTAGCACCATTAGTACTACCATCACCATGATCATTATGATTTTCTATACTATTATTTAAATTTTGTTCCATTGATACACTTGATGCTGATTGAACATTAGTAGAGAAAAGTTACCGAGTGAGACGATAAACAGGTAGCTTTTCTCTACGATTGTAAGGACAAAACATGGTACTGCTCGAACCAATCTAGGGTTATCTGGTATCCTCTCTCATATGACCTGAATAATAGTACTTTTTATCCTTACAATAAAAGAAATATTAATGGGGTATCCAGCCAGACTGATCATCCCCATATATATATTGACACAATAAGAGTTGATTTATTTCATTTCTTTTAATCGAGTAATGCTAAAACAGCAATTGAGTACTGAAACGTAAAAATCCATTCTTTGCACGAATATTATATCGTATGGAGGATAACATTCAAATGTTTTTTTCCTGTTATAAAAAGAGCAGATTCGAGCAAAAATATAAATCAAGCAACTATTGCATATAATTTCCTTTTTTCTAAATCGCTTAAATCCTTAATAAGAGCAAAGGGGGGGGGGGGGAAAAAGACCATAAAAGGAAAAATAGTTGTGAACAAATTTGTTAATTAATTTTTTTAAGAATTCGCACGAAAGCAAAGCGCGCCTTATGAAAATTGTTTACGGCAGTAAATCCCGCGGCAGTAAATCCTGTACACGCTCTAAAACATGATCAAAATCAAAAGTAATCGAGGTTGAAGAATTGAAGTCAGAGTCAATTTATCATACGTAATAACTAATATTTAATAGTGTTTTAATAATGTTTTTGATATGGCTTGAGCGAAGACAATCGAAGATAGGGAATCCGAATACGACGTCCTTTTCTCTGTTATCTAAGTTTCCTCACTAAGTTAAATCTGTTATCCTTTATATTTGTACATGGTTTTAACTTGTATGAACGGGAATGAGAAGTAAGACATTATTAGATACAAATAATTCTATCTCTGCATATGTATACGTCGAAACATGATTCAGACAGAAAAAATGTATTGCATCGAAGAGCTGTTAATACACGAAGAGAATAAGATTTAACGTTTACAAGGAAAAAAGAAAAAATATAAGATTTATTAGTTTTTTGATAAATTTCTTTTTTAAGACAATTCCTGAATGGCATAAAACATATCTTTCTACTTTTAACTAAATTCTGTTTAGATAAATAAACATTCAGGTTTGAACAAAGAAAGAGTCGACATCAATGAATATGAACTACGAAAGAGAGACCACTTCTTCTTTATAGAACGTTGTAGTACATGTATTAACAATTGACGATGACTTTTAACCTTATACTACGTAAATGAGTTACTTGTACGAAAAATGTCAATTAACATGATCATTAATAGATATGATCAATGAAAACTTAAAGGCTTAACAAATGCATCGTTGTATGCGATGTGATTTGTTCAATATCTATACAATCACTTCAAAGCTAGGGATAAGCACAACCATTGATGATTGAGATCAATTACAACTCAGAAATGACTTTTCAGAATAAAATTATTTTTAATTCGCAATAAAGTAGTATTCTTTCGGAAAAGGGTCAGGAAATCTGTAGGATGAGCATTACTTGTGTGTTAGGAAGATGTTTTTTCACTCTATAAAATCACACGGCAATAGAAGTCATGATTGACGCAATATGTGTAGCTTTGTGGTAAGTTCAATATCATGTATTCTTTAGGTATCGTGGTCGAAGCTCATCTGCTGTACTATGTTGAATACCATAAGATTGTGTTAGGCTGAAGAGAAAATATCATGTGGCGATAAGAAATGAATAGAGATCGATACCATAAGAGAGCAGAACTTTTTTAAATAAAAAATACTTGGGATATCTCCAAACGCATCTAGACTCGTCTAATGGCAAATAATGTCAAATTGCGTTTCTTTATTAGAACACGTTCTGACCTCCAAAAATGTTGCATTTTGGACGCATATAGACGCGTGTAGTTACATTGCCGATATACACTTGAGACGCGTCGAAAATAAAAAAATGGATATACAGACATACTCGAGCGATTTTTGTCACTAACTTTTCAAGAGGAAGATAATAGAACGTTGCTGTCTTTTCTTTTTGTCGAAAACCTCGAAGATAGCACATAGAATTGCAATATGTTACATACGAGCACGAACACTAAATTTTCTACTTTATATTTGCAGATCTGTCTACAGCCGTGGACATCATGCCAACTAACTTACGAAAGATGACTACTAATATTTAAAAATTTTATCCATAGATATCTCCTCGTACCAAATCTAATGGATTCTAGACAAACGAAAAGTTGACTGTGACGATTGTGTCAAACAAGTCGATTTTTGGTGAACTCAACAAAATATCTTAATACATCTTGCCAAATGTCATGAATATGCAATTGGATTACATGTAATCATTCTTGAAATGAGTCTTACCAGAGATAGATTCATTCTTACGACTATTTGGATGTTTTACTCGCCACCAGCACAAAGTTTCTTCATCACGTCCATTTGGGCAGTTCTTTTTACCATCACAGACACGTTTGGAAGAAATACATTTACCGTTGACAGCTCTATCAAGACAAGCAAATGATCCATTTTGACAACCCCCACGAGGACCACATAGGAGCTCATTCTCGTCCGCTCCGTCAGAGCAATCAGGAACACCGTTACAAATATAGGAGATCGGCAGGCAACGACTATCACTTTGACAATAAAACTGAATTTTAATTCCACCATTTTTGTCACATGTCAATCTTCGCTGCTCGTCAAGCGCACCAATACAGTTTATATTGCCATCACCAAATTGTTCGCACATGATTTCACTACTATAATTGCTTCCACACTTCAGCCATGGATGTGGTCCATGAATACACGGTGCATCATCATGCAATTCATCACTTCCGTCCAAGAAATCATATTTGCCATCTTGAAATAGGCTTGGATGAAGACAAGAACTGGATGTCCGAGTTCTACTTTTCTTCCAATCTTTCGGACAAATCCATTCAGGACCGCAATCAATTTCATCGAGTGAATGCTGTAAATCGGACTTTGAATCACACAAGTCTTTCATGTATATATCAACATATATTATTGCATCACCTCGTATCAGTCGACAGATGGTATTATCAATATTATGGCAATCTTGCTCGCGCCAGTTGATAATGCGATCCGAGGTAAACTCGAACTCATCACTACCATCCGAGCAATCATTGTTACCATCACCTATATAATATGATGGTTTTCTTATCAATTATTCTGATGACTTCAAAAATCATCTATTTGTTAGAGACTATTCTAATCGTCTGTCACCTTATGAAATATAGTGTAACAATAGTATTGACAATAGCTATGTATGTAATGAAAGATCGTGGTTTTTCAAGCGACAACACACTTGACATGGACTTCGGATCGGTTGAGGAACTTTATCTAGATTCAGAACTTACTTTCATTGCTACCTATCTTGTTCAGAAAATTATTTTTTCCAGGAAATATAATCAAAAAAGATTTTTGTACAAGAAAAAAATGTCTTTCTGCTAAATGTAATCCTCGTAGTATATTTTCGACTATGGGGCAGCAGGTCAATTACGGATTTTATAGAGATTTGTGGACTATGTTACATGAACTAAAATTATTTTAATCGTTGCTTCAACAATATATCTCAGTGAGCATTTGGGTGATCAACTCGAACACATCCTAGCGGAATGCATTGTTGAAAATCGTGTAGATGTACGTTCTACCTGATTGTTAACTATCATCTCACCTAAAAGATGTGGTAATATTGTTTCACCATTTTGTATTGCACATCTATATCGATGTCGAGTGAATTTAGAATTGAGTTGTCGATGTAAATTAGGATTTTCATCCGATCGATCGATACAATCACCGAATCCGTCAAGTAATCGATAGTTCGATATACATTTGTGCGTATTTGGACAAATATAATAGGCATTGGAATTAAGACAGTAATCAGGTAAGGGTTGTTGTTGCCCAAATAGATACTCAAATGGAGGAAATGGATATTTGTCATTATAAACATCATGGAAATGCAAACACTTCGCTTTATCTGAAGAACAGAAAAGAGCAGGTAGACGCGTAGTGTCTTCGTCATCAGACTCAAATTGTTCGCGTGTAAAGTAGGCATCGACAAATGGAGATAAAATGTTAGGCAATGAATACAAATAACCATGTGTTGTATTCTGAAAGCAATAATCAAGTACATGTTGTTGTAGATTTTCAACGTCATCACTTGTACAACTATGGAATAAAAGGAGAATTTTAGCTATAAACATGTTCAATAATCAAGAAAAAAGTTTTTTATCGGACTAGAGAACTAAAATTAGTTAGATATAACTCAAGCATTGATTTTTTCCTGAAAAATTTTCTTTAGATGAGCGTCACGCAAAAGGAGTATTTGAAAATAATAAAAATTAAGCAGAAAATTGTCATCTGAAATTTTGCATCAAACAGTCATAAAAGGAAATATTTATTCGAAATTGATGACTTTACCTACGATCAGTCACTGCAGCACATCGTACCAGTTTATCGCATGGTACTGACATGTTGGTTACTGTAACGAAGAACCAATTGAAGCAATCGCCTGTGGCTTTCGTAACAAAGCCTATTGATTCACATATACCGAAAAAGCCGAGTCCATTTTTACAAAATGGCGTATGATCATTGTAAAAGCGTTCACGCCATGAAAGGCATTGCCCATCTCCACATGAATATGCTTGTTTTTCGCCACATGCAACTTCGGAACAGTCGATTGATGACATGCTGTAGCACGCATCAGGATCATCGATATGCTTACGTAGCTCGTCGGTGCCATCGACACAATCTAATATTGAATCCATGAACCATTCAATTGGAATACATAATCCATTGCGACAGCGAAATTGGTTTTCATTACACTCGTTCAAGTCTAGGTGTTCACAAGACATCTCATCTTCTCCTGCGGCACAATCCCACTCCCCATCACATAAATCTCGCCAATCAAGACATAGCGCACTACATGTACGCAGTAGTGAATAACACTCTCGTTGTCTCATTGAATTATAAGCTGATACACCGTCATCTTGTCGTTTTAAAAGGCTCTCGTCAAATAATTCGTAAAATGTCTTGTAGGTATTGCCCGGTTTTTGTCCATAAATATATTCACAGAAACGTCCAAATGTGTTTTTGGTTGTGCAGCGACATATAAAATCTTCGCCGTCGCTTGATTCATTATTATTCAAGTATCGAGCATAGATACTCACCAAATCAATCGGAACTTTCCATTCGAGCAGTGTTCTAAATGACGTCGAATTTCTCCGTAATTGATCAAACGTCCACTTTTTACCAGAAGAACATGTTCTTCTTTTGAAAGGAACTAACGATGGTAGCCGATAACAATAGTAAACGTAATCATATGACAAAACAGAAAAAATTCGGTGTTCATAAATCGGTGACAAAAAGCAGTCACGATATGGTGCTACAGTCACTAACGAGTATTGCAAATATTGGCCATGCACTATCACCTCGAGGAAGGTCAGTCCTATCAGCCAGACGGCTATCAATAATTGGCGTTTATGGGGCTTTAATACGAGCATAAATCAACTGAAATGAACAAAAAAAAAGAAAAAATTCCTGTTGATACGTGGTGTTGCATCCACAGTTCAATGTCAGGCTTGATTTATTGACTTGTTTGTCGGAAATTTATCATGTTACCATTTAGTAATTATCACGTAGAGTCTGTCATTTTAATTTACCGAAGGTTCTCTTTTTCTTCAGGGTGAGGATGCGAGAGCAGAGATGGGTGTATGGGTGTGGGTGTGGATGTGGGTGGGATTCAGCTGCCCATATCTAGATTTCATCTCGGCTAAATAAATCATCAGTTGTCTTTAATCACAATGTTGATCTGTATGATTATTCTCTAAGTTAAGAGAGAAAGAAATGGTCGGTACGGTGGAGCCTGATTTCTTGCTTTTCTATTTTTTATGGTATGTTTTTAGTATGTGCCAGCAGGTATTAGAATTGTTTGTTATTTTTAGATATGTATATATATATATATCGGTATTTTCCGTGTGTTAGATAGTTAATCGCCTACGGAAATTAGTTAGCAAGGATGCTCTTCAGACTCTGATTGATTGAGGAATAGTTTTATTTGAGTCTGGGTGTGGGTGGATGTGTGGGTGTGTGGGTGTGGGGTGTGGACGTGCGGTGTGAGTGTGGATGCTGGCGTGTGGATGTGGGTGTGTGTGGATGTAAGTTTTTATAGAAGATGGAGATCCACCCACACCCACACCCACACCTACACCCACACCCACAACCTCACCCACCCACACACACCCACAACCTCACCCACCCACACCCACACACCACACCCCACATCCCACGTTTGTAAGATCATTAGCCATTTCTTCACATCTAAAAAAAAGTTTGTTCTTGTGTTAAATGGTTAATTTTATTATTATTTCTTACTGATCAAGAATAGACAAAAGCTCGCTTGACCTAGCTATTTCTTCTTTTGTGTTTTACTTAAATCTTCTTTTAATTCAATTAATTTACCTTCCATAAAATTTCCTCTAGAATACAAAATAACAGGATGGTTTTATATTAAAATTCATTTTTTTTACCGTTCATGTGATCGAGTTATTGCTTGTTCACTTGCTATGATGAGTAAATTAGTCATTGGTACCACATCATATGATGTAAGTTTTTTAATATTATTTACTGTACAATTGTTTTCAGTTGTTAATAATTTACCAGTTTCATGAACAGGTTTTCCACAACTACTATGATGAATTTATTTTATTTTTGCTTGTTCACGAATAACATTATCAAATTGTTTACCACCAAATTTTGTTGGTCCTTCTTTTGATTTATCATGTATTGTTTTATAAATAACTTTATCTTCACATGTTTCCTACAGAGATTAAAAAAAAATTTTACAAATTAATTTATGGAAGAAAAAATAATATTACTTTTTCTTCTTCTTCTTTGCATTGTGATGGATTAGGAACAACAATATTTACAGCAGATATATTTGTTGATTCCTTGCATTCAGATGCTATATAAAACAAAAAGGTTATATGAAAATTTAGTAACCACATGATTTACTTTTACTAAGCATAACACAAGTAAAATCTTCATTATCATTTGTATGTAATTTATCTTCACCTTCTTTCGTTCGTACTTCATTTGCTAATGGTTCATCTTGAATATTATTTTTCAAATTATCTTGTTCGTCTTCCATCTGAATATTTATCA